ATTTTTCCAGACTTTTTTTAATTTTAATGAAGTCCAGCTTGATGATCAATTATTTCTTTCATGGAGCGTGACTCTGGTGTTCTATCTAAAAAGTCATTGCCGTACCCAAGGTCATCTGTTACCTCCTATGACTTTTATAGTTTTACATTTTACATTGAAGTCTATGACCGATTCATCTTTTGCTTTTTGATCCTGGTGCCTTTTCATGTGAAATATAGTTGTCTTCGATGATAACCATAGTTTCACTTTGTCTGCTCTCCGCTACTTTCTAATTTTTCCATGACGAACAAGTACAATGTACAATTCATAAAATACGATTTTTCATAGAAAACTAATACATTAGGAAATAGTCTAATCTCTGGCATTGATATTTTTAACCTCCTCTGATGACCCCACTCCCTTTGGTGCCCTTTGAGGCATGTGTCAGTGGGGTTCCTCTACTCTAGAGGATGTAGATGCACCCAGAGATGTAGAAGTTAGAGTTCATGTGGGAACCACAGCTATTTGACTCAAGGGTTCTTTGTGCCCCTACCCTCCCTCTTTTGTGTGCACCTGGGACTTGCAAGCATCATGCTGCTAATTCCAGCTTCTTCTCAGGCACCCAGGACATGACTGCATGGGCAGATTCCACGGGAAGGCTTATTTGTCCCCAGCTGGGATCTGGGATCTGTCCCATTTCCATCCCCATCCCATGTAGAATGCTCTAGCTGCTCTCAGTCGGCTGGAGTCCATCTGGAAGAGGTGCTTCCTCTCCTGCACTTAGATAGAGAGACAGGAGGAAGGAAATAGCCTATGACCAGACTGTGATTACTCAGGGTGGGAGACTTAAAATTCTTAAATCAGAAGCCTTGTCTAGAAGTCATGCAAAGGAAGTTCTCGTGTTGGTACACAAGATTATACGGTAAGAACATTCATTGCAATACAGCTTATAATAGAAAAACATGCCTGCAGGGCGCCTGGATGGCTCAGTTGTTAAGTGTCTGCCTTCGGCTCAGGTCATGATCCCGGGGTCCTGGGATCGAGCCCCGCATTGGGCTCCCTGCTCAGCAGGAAGCCTGCTTCTCCCTCTCCCA